TCCGCGTATATCAGGCTCTGAGCCACGAGCTCAAACTGCTTTTTCTTCGGTTCCTTCGAAGCACGAAGCAGCTCCATGCTTCACAGAAAGCAATCACACACGGACCAATCACAGTGGAGCTTCTCTACGGCGACCCTTGCGTAGACATTTTCGAGGGTGCGCGGCAGGCTACGTAAGGGCCTTGAGGTGATCCACGCGTTCCGCAAGTGACGTCACGTCACCACCGTAGCTCCGCGCAACTATACATAGTTCCCACAGACCAATGAATGTCACATGAGCTCCTCGGAGACGCCATCTTTGATGGCACGCTGCTGTGTTTGTGCATTCCATTAAACAGAAGAATGAGAATAAATGTAGATATTCAAACGCAAATTGGAAAAAAAGGGCAACTTTTGAGCAAATAATTGTATATTAATACAATGGCACCACAGTTTAACGTGCTACGGACATGTTTTACATATTTGATCAAATTATGAAGCAAAAATTAACAAGCAATGCAAACATTTCTCAAAAACTTTAGATTTAATACCAGTTGGAGTTCCATTTATTATTTTAATTATATTAACAATTAATTTAATTAATGCTAATGCCACACGGACACTCTGGATTGCTGTTATTGTTTATTTCCGCGTTTTTGACCGTATGTTTTGGTGAATGGTGGGCAACTGATTTTTCCAGGCGTAAAGAGCAGTTTATTTTATGACACAGATCTTTTTACAGAAGCAATGCTGTTTGTGAACATTGTTTTAGCCCACCATAGAACTATTATTATCTATTTAATACATTTACGTTGCCCTCGAGAGCCTCGGACGCGACACCGATCCTCCTCATAATAAAGTAATCTAAATAATGAAACTCTCAAGTTACCAGATATCAGCATACACAAGTTAGTACTGAGTAAATTACGTCTGTCAACACATTATAAGATACGATACGCACCTGACATAAAGTGCTCCGAGCATATTCTTGCGTGTTTTGAGGGAGTTTCTTGCCTGTTTATCTTCGCAAGCCATAACCTCCGTGGTTGTTCTGACAAAAGCTTAGTCTTCTCACATTCATGAAGTCTAATGATGGGTATACTGTAAAATCCAAGTTTAACGGAACCTCTGGCACGATTTGAACATCCATTGACCCAGCAGGAGATGACCATTTTCAACTTTATCACAACATTAACACGTTTCAGCTTCTTTTTCTATTGTTTTGCCCACAGAATGCCAACACAAATGGCGCCGGGTCGGCAAATCCCCGTATGTAGTGACGTCATGTGGGAACTATGTATAGTCCCTTTGCTCCTGTCCTTGGTCCCTGTGCTCCTGTCGTTAGTCCCTCTGCTCCTGTCGTTAGTCCCTGTGCTCCTGTCGTTAGCCCCTGTGCTCCTGTCCTTAGTCCTTGTGCTCCTATCCTTAGTCCCTGGACTACTACTACTACTACTACTACTACTACTGCTACTGCTACTAATACGACTACTAATACTACTGCTACTACTACTAAGACTACCACTACTGCTGCTACTGCTGCTGCTACTACTACTACTACAGATACTGATGCTGCTGCTGCTGATGTGAGTCTTTATGGCAGCTCAGTGTGTCACTCTTATTGCATTAGAGAGTGTGATTTTATCCTCTTTTCTTGTCCCCTTTCACTCCTCTCTCTCTCTCTCTCTCTGTGTGTGTATGTTTACTCGTCCGTGTCGCAGCTCTGTGTGTGTGTGTGTGTGTGTGTGTGTGTGTGTGTGTGTGTGTGTGTGTGTGTGTGTGTGTGTGTGTGTGTGTGTGTGCGCGTGTGCGCGTGTGCGCGTGTGTGCGTGTGTGCGGTGTCTTTTTGTGTCTCTCTCGCCAAATTACGGCCATTGATTTGTGTCTTTATTATGTGTTGAACCCCGTGCACCGCAGCTGCAGCGGCTTAGCTCAACACTGCCCCCTGGCGGCAGCTCCACTTCTCCCTGCAGCTGAGAGGGTGGATAACTGAGAAGTGCTCACAGACACAGGGTTTTAATCATAATTATGCTGTTTTCATTTGGGGACCAACATTCTGTGTTCAGTCCCTGTGCTCCTCAGAGTCTCAGCAGGAGGCCAGTCCCTGTGCTCCTCAGAATCGGTTCATGTCACAGATGTACTTTGGTACGAGGAGAGGCTTGTAACAAACAGAGACCTGAGACCAGGACTAATGTGAGAGGACTTCACGACAGAGACCGGAGACCAGGACTAATGTGAGAGGACTTCAGGACATAGACCTGAGACCAGGACTTATGTGAGAGGACTTCAGGACAGAGACCTGAGAACAGGACTAGTAAGTAGGTAATATTTATTTACAGTATATAGCGCATTTTACAGACCAAGGTCACCCAAAGCACTTTACAATGTTCAGAGTTCAGACATTGTTCCAATCACGAATGATTGGAACAAATGGAACAGTGTCGTGTGTGGTATATTTGTCGTTTGTGAGTAAGTAAGTAATATTTATTTATTTAGCGACTTTCACAGACCAGAGTCAAAGCGGTTTACAATTGTAATTTGACAATTAGTCTCTGACTTCACACAGATGGGAGGGGCCAGTACAGGAGGCACCGACCTATTGTACATGTTTTTAGTGGTAGGGGAAACCGGAGTACCCGGAGGAAACCTACGCAGACACGGGGAGAACATGCAAACTCCACTCAGAAAGGCCCTGTTCCAACCGGGATTCGAACCCAGGACCTTCTTGTGAGAGGCGAGACTGCTAACCACTCAGCCACCGAGCCACAGAGAGACCAGAGAAAGACCAGAGAGAGACCAGAGAGAGACCAGAGAGAGACCAGAGGGAGACCAGAGGGAGACCAGAGGGAGACCAGAAGACCAAAGAGAGAGACCAGAGAGAGACCAGAGAGAGAGACCAGAGAGACAGACCTCTGACCCACCTGTTGTCATGGCAACGGCAGCCCGACGCCACACGGAGCTGGCGCGTACTTAACTGCAGTAATCAGCAGAGAGAGCAACAGCACAAAAGATGTGAGAAAAACAACATTATCTGAATTAGCAAATTACACGAGACGCAATTATTGATAATGTCCTGTAGCCCTGTTTCCACCAGCTCCCTCTGGTCCCTATCTGGTCTCCCTCTGGTCTCTCTGGTCTCCCTCTGGTCCCTCTGGTCTCTCTCTGGTCTCTCTCTGGTCTCTCTCTGGTCTCCCTCTGATCTCTCTCTGGTCTCCCTCTGGTCCCTCTGGTCTCTCTCTGGTCTCTCTCTTGTCTCTCTCTGGTCTCTCTCTGGTCTCCTTCTGGTCTCTCCCTCTCTGGTCTCTCTGTAACATCTGTGACATCTGTAACGTCTGTAACATCTGTATCATCTGTAAAATCTGTAACGTCTGTAACATCTGTAACCACGACAACAGCTTCCGAGAAACAAGACTGTAGTAAGTGTTGCGAGGCAGAGGGAGCAGCCTCTGCACTCAGAGCTTCCCTCTCCCACCTCTGGTCATGATCTTTGGAGTAGAGCTGCTGTTCCTCCACATGGAGAGGAGCCAGAGGAGGTGGCTCATGTCTTTGGCAGGCCTCCTGGTCTCCTTCTGGTGTCCTCCTGGTCTCTTCCTGGTCTCCTCCCTGAGGAGGTGTTCTGCTTTAATGAAAATACTGCTCTCCTTTATACAACACACAAACACACACACACACAGACACATACACACACACACACACACAGACACACACACACAGACTGACACAGAAACACACACAACTCAGGACCATGTGGAACTCAGGACCAGGTGAGAAACAGGAAAGAGTCACAGATGAATCTTTCTAAATCCTCTGTGTCTAAAAGAGAAGCCTCACAGAGGACATAACACCTGCCTCCACTCCAGACGCTGTCCTCCTCCTCCTCCTCCCTCCTCCGTCTCCTCCTCCTCCCTCCACCCCCCCCCCCTCCCCCCTCCACAAGGGCAGGATGCTCCGGTTGGAGTGCCATTGCTGTGTGACTCACTCACAGCTGTTCAAACTCATCGTCCCAAAGAGAGACCAGAGAGAGACCAGAGAGAGACCAGAGAGAGACCAGAGAGACCAGAGAGAGACCAGAGAGAGACCAGTGAGAGACCAGAGAGAGACCAGAGAAAGGCCAGTGAGAGACCAGAGAGAGACCAGAGAAAGAGACCAGAGAGAGACCAGAGAGAGACTAGAGAGAGACCAGTGAGAGACCAGGGAGAGACCAGAGAGAGACCAGAGAGAGGCCAGTGAGAGAGACCAGAGAGAGACCAGAGAAAGAGACCAGAGAGAGACCAGAGAGAGAGAGACCAGAGAGAGACCAGAGAGAGGCCAGAGAGAGGCCAGTGAAAGAGACCAGAGAGAGACCAGAGAAAGAGACCAGAAAGAGACCAGTGAGAGACCAGGGAGAGACCAGAGAGAGAGACCAGAGAGAGACCAGTGAGTGACCAGAGAGAGACCAGAGAGAGACCACAGGGAGACCAGAGAGAGAGACCAGAGAGAGACCAGAGAGAGACCAGAGAGAGACCAGAGAGAGAGACCAGAGAGAGACCAGTGAGAGACCAGAGAGAGACCAGAGAGAGACCAGAGAGAGACCAGGGAGAGACCAGAGAGAGAGACCAGAGAGAGACCAGTGAGTGACCAGAGAGAGACCAGAGAGAGAGAGACCAGATAGAAAGCAGAGAGGCGGCCCTCTGCTGGTTGGTGGTGAGAGGGTTAGTTGTTGGTGACATGAGGATGAAACCCTGAGAGTGTCTGAGTGAAACCAAAGCTCGTCTCGAGCCTAAATCTGTGAAGAAGTGGATCATAAACAAACCTTCTGAGTCTGCAGTGAAGCAGGTGGTTTCCATGGAGACAACTGTCAGTCCAGACTGCAGGGGGTCAGATCTCAGGGAGAGTCCTGTCCGACAGCAGCAGCTCTGTGTGGGCTCTGTGTGCTCTCCACAGATCTGAGATCAGTCTGAGTCCTGTAAGTGTGTTTGTATAAAGCCTAATGTGGTCTCCTTAAACCATGAGCTCAGGACCCTCTGGTGCTCCTGTAGCCCGGGTTTAGTCTGGACTGCAGCTGTATCTGTATCTGTAGCTGTAGCTGTAGATGTAGATGTAGCTGTAGCTATAGATGTAGATGTAGTTGTAGGTGTAGATGTAGATGTAGATGTAGATGTAGTTGTAGATGTAGGTGTAGATGTAGCTGTAGCTGTAGCTGTAGATGTAGATGTAGATGTAGATGTAGATGTAGTTGTAGATGTAGTTGTAGCTGTAGCTGTAGATGTAGATGTAGATGTAGTTGTAGATGTAGTTGTAGATGTAGGTGTAGCTGTAGCTGTAGCTGTAGCTGTAGCTACTCATGCAGATGCTCCTCATACACACTCTTTAACTTTTACACAGGTCCTAGAGAGAGAGGACTTTAACACAGGTACGAGAGAGAGAGAGAGAGAGGACTTTAACATAGGTTCAGTACGAGAGAGAGAGAGGACTTCATCATAGGTACGAGAGAAAGAGGACTTTAACACAGGTACGAAAGGGAGAGAAGACTTTAACACAGGTACAAGAGAGAGAGAGGACTTTAACACAGGTGCGAGAGAGAGAGAGAGGACTTCATCATAGGTACGAGAGAAAGAGGACTTTAACACAGGTACGAGAGGGAGAGGACTTTAACACAGGTATGAGAAAGAGGACTTTAACACAGGTACGAATAGGAGAGAGGACTTTAACACAGGTACAAGAGAGAGAGAGGACTTGAACACAGGTACGAGAGAGAAAGAGGACTTTAACACAGGTACGAGAGAGAGAGAGGACTTTAACACAGGTACGAGAGAGAGAGAGGACTTTAACACAGGTACGAGAGGGAGAGGGGACTTTAACACAGGTACGAGAGGGAGAGGGGACTTTAACACAGGTACAAGAGAGAGAGGACTTTAACACAGGTACGAGAGAGAGAGGACTTTAACACAGGTATGAGAGAGAGAGGACTTTAACACAGGTACGAGAGAGAGAGGACTTTAACACAGGTACGAGAGAGAGAGGACTTTAACACAGGTACGAGAGAGAGAGGACTTTAACACAGGTACGAGAGAGAGAGGACTTTAACACAGGTACGAGAGAGAGAGGACTTTAACACAGGTACGAGAGAGAGAGGACTTTAACACAGGTACGAGAGAGAGAGGACTTTAGCATAAACACATCTTTATATTTAGCCTCCTCTTCATCGTGACGAAGACACACCTCAAACCTAAATGAGCTCCGTGGAGGATGCTCTCACATACATCTGTGTGTGGCACATGTTGGCATCTGACAGTGTTCAGCACCTCCCCCCCTCCTCCCCCCTCCTCCCTTGCCGTTGCCTCCACAGACAGCGCCTTAGATGTGAAGTTGATTTCTTGACATGTTATTTTCCTCTGCGTCGAGAGCCGTGCAAACAAAGTGGTGACAGCAGAGGAGGGGGGAGGAGGAGGAGGAGGAGGAGGGGGAGGAGAAGGGGGAGGAGGAGGGAGAGGGCTGTGAGCTCATACCACCATAAACTGAATTATTGAGAAAAAAACAAAAGCTCAGTTTGTTGTACGCTTTTGAGTAGAGTCTATGACAGAGAGACCAGAGAGAGACCAGAGAGAGACCAGAGAGAGACCAGAGAGACACCAGAGAGACACCAGAGAGAGAGACCAGAGAGAGAGAGAGAGAGTCTCCCCTCTCTCTCCCTCTCTTTTTCCCTCCCTCTCTTTCTCCATCTTTCTCTCTCTCTTCATCCTTTGTGACTCAACACCTCACTCTGAGCCTATTTTGGGGTCTCCCGCACCCTGCCACCTCCTTCTCATTATCGCCGAGAGCTTTCTGCGCATACACACACACACACACACACACACAGGCTCCCTGGGGACTCATGGTAGAAGGATCCCAAGGTTAGAAACAGAACACAGCTCTAACCTCATTTCAGATCCACATGTTGCAGACTGAGGACGCGGGGGCTGCCTCCTGCTGCCTCCTGCTGCCTCCTACTGGCTCCTGCTGCCTCCTGCTGCCTCCTGCTGGCTCTTGCTGCCTCCTGCCGGCTCCTGCTGCCTCCTGCTGGCTCCTGCTGCCCCCTGCTGCCTCCTGATGGCTCCTGCTGCCTCCTGCTGCCTCCTGCTGGCTCCTGCTGCCTCCTGATGGCTCCTGCTGCCTCCTGCTGGCTCCTGCTGGCTCCTGCTGCCTCCTTCTGCCTCCTGATGGCTCCTGCTGCCTCTTGCTGGCTCATGTACAGACGCTCACAGGTGTTGTAAACCGACACACACTGGTGTCATATACAGACGCACACTGGTGTTGTATACAGACGCACACTGGTGTCACATACAGATGCACACTGGTGTCATATACAGACGCACACTGGTGTCATATACAGACGCACACTGGTGTCGTATACAGACGCACACTGGTGTCACATACAGACACACACTGGTGTCGTATACAGACGCACACTGGTGTCACATACAGACGCACACTGGTGTCGTATACAGACGCACACTGGTGCCGTATACAGACGCACACTGGTGTCGTATACAGACGCACACTGGTGTCGCATACAGACGCACACTGGTGTCGTATACAGACGCGCACTGGTGTCACATACAGACGCACACTGGTGTCATATACAGACGCACACTGGTGTCATATACAGACGCACACTGGTGTCATATACAGACGCACACTGGTGTCATATACAGACGCACACTGTAACGTCTCGTTATGCCGCTACTCTAAAGCATCATGTCTGGTCTGGGTCTGGTCTGGGTCTGATCTGGGTCTGGGTCTGTGTCTGGGTCTGGGTCTGGGTCTGGATCTGGTCTGGGTCTGATCTGGGTCTGGTCTGGGGCTGGTCTGGTCTGGGTCTGGGTCTTCACAGGCCAAGGACACACACAGCTTTACACTGTCCTCTTCTATTTGAATCACAACAGACGCCTGAAGCCTCTGCTGTCAGCCTGGACCAGTGTCTTCACCCCCTCACCCTCACCCTCTCACCCTTTCACTCCCTCACTCGGGCGGCACGGTGGCTGAGTGGATAGCACTCTCGCCTCTCAGCAAGAAGGTCCTGGGTTCGAATCCCGGTCGGACCAGGGCCTTTCTGAGTGGAGTTTGCATGTTCTCCCCGTGTCTGCGTAGGTTTCCTCCGGGTACTCCGGTTTCCCCTACCACTAAAAATATGTCCAATAGTTCTGGCATGCGCCTCCTGTACTGGCGCCCCCGTTCCCATCTCTGTGTGGAGTGAGAGACAAATGCCCAAAAAAAAATTAACAATTGTTAATTCACAGTCACCCCCTCACCTCCTCACCCTCTCAACCCCTCACTGTCCCCCCACCCCCTCACCCTCTCACCCCTCACTCTCTCACCCCCTAACCCCTCACCCACTCTCCCCGTATACGTCAGCCTGTGGTAGCACTGGAATCCCAGAGCATTTAAGAATCTCTTATTTATGCCCAAAATGTGACACAAACAAAAAGAAGTGGAGAAGAGTCCTGGGTCTACAGCCTCAGTCCTGGGTCTACAGCCTCAGTCCTGGGTCTACAGCCTCAGTCCTGGGTCTACTGTCTCAGTCCTGGGTTTCTCCTCTCTCTCCTTTCTCTCCTCTCTCTCCTCTCCTCTCTCATCTCTCTCCTCTCTCCCCTCTCTCTCTCCTCTCTCTCCTCAGTCAGATTTAAAGGTCACACACTGCAGAATGAAGAGGTGTTAATGTGAGTTGGGAGTAGTGCAAACCCTCAGTCCTTTTCACTTTGATATTTGTAGTTTAAGCACATTTGAACTTGAGTGTTTTTAGACCTGAGTCCTGTGAATTCCTCTGACACATGGTCCATACATGGTCCATACCAGTGTTCGTGCAAAGACACTATTACACATTACTCACAACAGAGTCGTAAGGTTTGTTAGGAAGTCAGCTTTTTAGTGATAGGAGAAACTGGAACCTACGCAGACACAGGGAGAACATGTAAACTCCACACAGAATGGTCTGGAATCAAATCCAGGACCTTCTGCTGAGAAGTACAAGTGCTAACCACCCCCCAGAGCGAAGAGCAAAACCACAGCCACAGATATCTAAGGTCTTTAATGTCTCACCTGTGTGTCGTCCTCGGTCTCAGTCTCGGTCTCAGCCTCAGTCTCAGCCACAGGTCACACAGACCTGTGGGTCTCTCTCCTCACACAGGGTCTTTCTCCTCATACAGGGTCTCTCTCCTCACACAGACCTATGGGTCTCTCTTCACACAGGGTCTCTCTTCTCACACAGGGTCTTTCTCCCCACACAGGGTCTCTCTCCTCATATTTGCGGCTGATGGATCTTCTCAGATTCTAAAAGCCTCACTACAGTTCAGGGCTGGCAGCAATCTGTGGTTGTTACGGCAACCCTCCGGCACGGCGCTGAGAGGCCATTACCGACCCTCAACGAAACAGAATCACTCAGACCTCACACACGCATCACCGTCCTCTGCAGAACACACAGGTCTGAGCTCTCCCCGGTCTTACCCCGGTTCCTGACGCAGTCCTCCATTTTGTTCATATATAAGAACGGACAATGCTAACTCGCTAGCTCAAGGAATCATGACAGGGAAGTGCTCATGAAGGAGTTTTGCTCCGACTTCCTCTGGCTCAACTCCTTTCAATGTATTTGTGTCTCGACCTAAATCACAGCAGCAGTTGTACTGGACCCAGGACTGAGGCTGTAGACCCAGGATTGAGGCTGTAGACCCAGGACTGAGGCTGTAGACCCAGGATTGAGGCTGTAGACCCAGGACTGAGGCTGTAGACCCAGGATTGAGGCTGTAGACCCAGGACTGAGGCTGTAGACCCAGGATTGAGGCTGTAGACCCAGGACTGAGGCTGTAGACCCAGGATTGAGGCTGTAGACCCAGGACTGAGGCTGTAGACCCAGGACTGAGACTGTAGACATCAAACAAAGCCTTATTTTCCAAACGGTGTCAGTGTCATGTTTATTTCCTGTTTTGTAATAGGTTAACTGCTGTCTCTTCTTCAAGTCTACTTCCTGTTGAGTGACTCATGTGTTTCATCTGTTTGTCGTTATGGTGCTTTCAGTTTTCTAGTTTTCAGGCGCAGGGGTCTTCAGACCAGAGGTCCTGTCCCTGTTGCGTCTGTTTTTAGTTCTTGTCCTTGTGTTTGTGTGTGTGAGGCCCAATCCCAATACCCACACCGCACCCTACACTCCTCTACGAAGTGTGCATTTGTTTGAACGCAAGGGTTTGAGTGCGCAGGTTACAAGCGTGGAAAAAGGCGGAATTGGGACAGTGCACACTGAGTGCAGGATACGTCATCGACTAGTCAAGAGATGGTCATTAAACTTTATAAAAATTAAAGGTAATTTTGTCTGACCCTGTGGGAAACAAAAT